CCTGGGAGGGGCTGGCTCCTGCAGGGCCGGGCAATACTGCGGGTCCCACAGAGGTGGGCACTGACCTCAAACAGGGGCAGGGCCCCCGGAGGTGGGGAGCCCCTGTGCCTGGGGGTATCAGCATTGGAGCTGTGCTCTGAGCCCATGGTGGGGGTGAGGGCACGATGGCTATGCAGGTGCTGAGGGGCACACACGGTGGCCCTGTCTCCCCAGCGCAGGGCAACGGCAGGGAGATTAGAGATGGGAGAGTTAGGCATTCGAGGGCTGGGAACAGCATGCGAAAGTGGGGCCCAATACGGGCCTCGGGGCCCCTTCTTCATGGTCTCTGGGCAGCAAGAGCCTGTGGTCACCCTCGTCCCCCCCCCTAGTGGCCCCTCGGCCAGCAGGAAGGGGAGGGCCCTCTGCTCCTACCTTGCTGACCCCCAACCCCACCACCAACGTCTGAGGACCCCCCAGGGGACCAGGTGGGAGGGGCTGCTGCGAGGAGGGTGGGCTGAGTCAGCAGATGGAGCGGGCACCGGGCACTAATCAGCTCCAGCCGCTGTAATGACCTCATCGCTCACAGGCTGCTGGTCGCCCCGTGCAGGTCAGCGATGCGCACGCAGGACAGACCGTTCCCTGCAGAGCAAACAGATGAAGAAGCTGGGGTGGGGGAGGGGGGCTGCGGGCGGGTGCTGGGCGGCTCAGGGCGAGGTAGCGGCCCCTCCCCACCCCCATGGTTCTTGCGTTTTCATGGAGTCTGGTCCCCGCCTTTCAATGGCCGTGTTCCCAGGGGCACCCCCTGCCCCCCACCTGGGCTGCTGAGAACCAGGCCAGGAATCGGCTGCTGGGGGTGGGTCCCAGGGTGTCTGGCAGTGGCCTGTCCTAGGAGATGGGGGTACATGTCACCCCCAACCCAGCTTGCTGAAGACTGAAGGGAGGGAGCCGTCTTCTGGGGCCCTCAGCCTGCGCGTTTTGGGGGTACTGTGGTCGAAGGAATGGGATGGAGTGTGTCCCCCAGGAAGTATCAGGCCAGGGTGTTCTGAGGCTGGGCAGCTCTGAGAGCCCCTGGCAGCCCCTGGCCCTTGGGGGCCACCCTCTGGGAACCCGGGCAGGAGGTGGGGGCAGGGCTGCTCCTGGAAAGGCCCGTCCTCCTGGGGGAAGGGGGGCCGTGGTGGGTGAGCAGCCCGCTGAGCGGAACAAGGCGGCTTCTGTCCTCCCCACGCCAGCTCCTCAGCTGCGCCTCCGGACAGGCCCCCAGCGGGGGCCCTGAGTGTGGGCGGCCCTGGAGGAGACCCCGCTCAGGTGAGCCCCGTTCGGCTTCCTGCAGGGGGTTGGCGCTCACTCCCTCACCGCCCCCCCTCCTGTGCCTCCTGAGCCAGGGTGGTGGGCTGGCCCAGGTCTCAGAGCCAAGCACCCACTTCTGGGAACTCCCTTGGGGGGTGGGGCAACCACATATCCAGAGCCTGTCCGTTGGGGTGGGGGGTGGAGGGGAACAGGGAGACCTCGGAGGGCAGGGGCTGGCCCAGGAGAGTGGGCGCGGTGGGCGTGGTCTGTGGCTGGTGTCTGGCCGGCTGGAGCCAGGCCGTGGGCTTGCTTCCTTGTCTTGATAAAAACAGGGCCCCTTCTGCAGCTGGAGGACCCAGAGCCTCTCCATTCAGCCCCCACCCCAGCGAGTCTGTGTGGGAGGGGCGCCTCCCTGTCACTGTGTCTGGGCCCCAGCGTCCAGGTGTCCTGGGTGCCCACCTGCCCTTCCCAGCAAGGGCACCTGGCGATGGGCGGGCAGGACGAGGGCCCCAGGACATCCCCGACGCGCTGCTCGATCGGTACAGAGTGGAGGGAGCCAGTCCGCCTGCCCTCGGT